GCGGTTAAGTCTGCGTTGCGACTTCCCCCAAGCTTTTGGCATTGCTTGTGTCTTGCCATCTTATTCATTTGCCTTAATCTTGTCCGATCCAGCCCGTGCGGCGCTGGGGAGATAAGAAAGGCTCTGCCAATACTCTTGTCCTACCCCACGGTAGTGGGGCGATAAGTGAGGCTTGTGTTTTTGCTGTGCGCATAACCTGAAGTCGCTAGAACCTGCCACAGGGCTGTGTCCCCCCCTTATTACGCCATCTTGTAGTAATTGTCTTATTTGCCTGCGTGCGCTATTTAGTTGTGTTACCTTTTCAAGCGTATCTTAAGCGGAATAGTGACATTAACTCGAATTATACCACAGATCTTCGTTCTCCCTTTGAGTATCGTTTTATCTAGGATAAAAGAGGTTTCAAATCCCAGGAGAGAAAAACTTATTATTCACATGCTTTCGATTCCATCCCGGAATCTTGATCAACTGACGGAGTTGGACGTTTTGTCACATGATTTATATTGTGAATCACGTGCCAAAACGTCCCCGTAGATCGCTGGGAGCTCGTAACCGGCGTCGTTTCGTTTTCTATGCTGAGATCTGAAACCTCGTTTGCTCTAAATATCATTATGACAGGATTAAGCAACTCTTTCTTCGCTAATATTACTTTATCCTTCACATTTCCCCATTTGAAAACGAGGAGTCACCACTGGATTTATTTATTTTGGACGCCCGCCCTACTCCGGAAGGAATGTTACGCATATGCAGCGCTGCACGATGGTTTTGATCAGCCAAGTCCTTAAGCGTTCTTTCTAGCTTACTCCCTTGTCAGCGAAAAGTCTGGGAAAGGACGGGCTAGTTCTCGGTGACGTCACCGCTCACGGTAGAGTCCAGGTTTAGCCGAACCGAGAACGCGTGGGGACTAGGCTTGGTTTTAATATCAAGTATCCGTAAAATGAATTGAATTTTATTGTTGGTATTTTTTGTATTTATTCAATGTTAGTGCCGATAATGATAAAATTAAGGATAATTAGAGAAATCTGTAGTGTAGTGGGAGCGTCATTAAAATTAATTTTTTTAACCAATTTATATAATAACTATGATTTTCTCTTGCCTTTTTGGCAAAGCAATTGAATATACCTCTTTAGCTTATGTGGTTTGTTTTGCCAGTGTAGGTTATGTGAAATTCCCACGGGAATTTGTTTGTTCGTCAGTCACACCATAGTTAGTAAAGGAGACTGGTTAGGAAACCCGGCAAACATCAAAGTTGAAAACAACGGTGCTGTAGGTTATGTTGGAAGCTCCCTGACCGTGCACAATCCTTTGTTTTCTGTTCACAAATTATGACTGAATAAATTAGTGCAATGTTTCTGTTGGTCAATAACTTCAAAATGATTGGAATGCTATTGAACGTTGTGCACGGTCAGGTCCAAAAAAGCTAACAAAAACCTATAACAAAGGGTTTCCCAACCATTCCACTTTAACTGACTATGGTCACACGTAATTCACATGTAAGACGAATTTTGAAACAACCATGTTTTCACTCGCGTGGCCAGTATCTATGTAAACTCAAAGGAAAAACTGTTTGAATGGCCTATAATAACTCAGCCCTTTGCTGTAGTGCCAGCCCTGCATTCAGTTTTGTTTTACGTAAGCTCAGTATTAAAACATAAGAAAGCCTTTTCATTAGGAAAAATACAACTATCGCAGGATTTGATTGGAACACCAAAATTGCTGTCGTTTCATCGTTTTGGAACACTAATGTGGCCACCGTGACGTCTTGCAAAAGCGCTCTCTTATGTTTCAGTGTAGCACCACGCGATGTAAACTGGGAAAACAAAATAAAGAAATAAAGGTAAACTGAGATCTGTTTCTTTTTTCGTATCGCTTGGAAAATGAAATTCTGGCGGGCAAGGCGAAACCATGTAAGATAGAATATAAGTAGCCACTTCAGAAAAGAGAAGGGAGCTGGACCCGAAATGCGTAACAGTCCCAGAAGTCTTTGCGAAAGTTAACCCGGCGCAGTTCCCCTCTCGTATCTGAGGTGCCGAATTTGCATTTCAATTTTGTCCTTAAATTTTTCAACTCGACGTTGCGGCGCTGATTTGGGGGCGGCACTTGAATTTTGCAATTTTTCTCTCCTGTGATGGAGATTAACTTAGCCTGTACCAGCCAAGCCAAAAAACAAAGCCAAGTGAACAGGACATGTTCGATATGCGCGTTTTTCGCATCAGTTTTCGCTATCTCTGCACATTAGGGAGCTTAAGCAACGACGACGACGACGACGACGACGACGACGGCAACGAGAACGGTAAAAAAGCAATAGGTTTAGATTGGCAAAACAACAACTTTGCACGTGCAGCACGCTTTCTTGTACATTTCTTAGCCGTCGCTTCACTACTGCAACGTGAAAGTGCCTAACTTAACGTTTTGTCGTGGACTTGAACGAAGACAACGACTTTCTTTTTCTTTTCCTGAACTTTGGTATAGTCTTTCAGAATTCAACTCCAGAAAAATTTGCCAGCATTTGACGAATCGAACGACTTGGAATGAGCGCGATAAAGTTAGAAGTAGCGCGAAATCACTTTTTAAGTGACGTTTTCGTAGACGTCGCCGTCATTGTTGCTCAAGCTCCCTATCACTACCTCGAAGCCTGGAACAGTCTAACATCATCTATGTCAAAAAATTAATTCGGCTTATTTGGCCATTTCCGAGTTCCCCCGGGCCTCTGTTTCAAAACGAGGGTTGGTGCTCAGCCTTTGATATGGAAATCATTTTTCATTCTCATGCAAATAAAACTCATTTTCACAAGAAAGGTTGTGCACCTAGCCTCGTCTTGAAAGTGAGGGTTTTTGTAACTCGGAGGTGGTATATTATATGATATAATACTTTTTTTGGCTTGTTCGAGGGATAACCTCTTTCGAGTAAATATATCCACGGAAATACGGTATACACAAAGGAGTGATCAGTTCAACACAAATACCACGACTAAAATGAGCAGATGTTTAATTCTTTGATACAATACTAACATCATAATGATCATGTACATTTGATCACTTAAGCGTTCAAGAGGTGACGTCAGTGCTATGACTGCCAATAAATATTTACGAATTTTACATTCACTTTCATTAAAATACCTTGAAACATCCAAATTGTAGATTTAAATATAAGACAAATATTTTAATTTAACGACTTAACCTTACAATTATTTAGTGCATAACATAAAAATGATTTAATTTTTAAGGCCATTAAATATATACTATTTTCCACTGTAACAGTAAGTAATTCCTAAATATTCGTCTGAGATATCAACTCCCTCCAAGGGAAATATACAATAATTTATTATACAACATCGCTTCGCAACTGCAAGACTATGTAAACTTAAAATTACCACCGGACCCATGAAGAATCAGAAGGTGTAAACAATAAAACAAGAGGTTACCGAACCCCCACCCCCCGGGGAGGCACTCAAAGGGGAGTTTGGGTAGGGACATGCCGCCCAGAGACCTTCAAACCCTGACAGTGATTAGTATGGGTAATAGCATGATTTGTAGCGATATTTGGCATAAATACCACGAGTGATATTTCAAAATTGTTACACGTAATTTCACGAGCCGTTAGGCGAGTGAAATTTGAGACAATTTTGAAATGTCACGAGTAGCATTTATGCCAAATACCACGTACAAATCATTCTATTATTTGTTTATACTACTACCTGCTAAAGGTCTGTAATTTTCACATGTAGGTATTTCAAATTAAGCTGAAATACTACTGCTCCAAGCCAATCAAATTGCAGAAATTTCTCAAGTAGTAGTAGTAGACAAAAATTGCTCATATCACTACCTTGTTATAGAAAAAAGACCCTTTTTTATAGCCCTGGTTAGTTTCTTTTTGCCTACAGAATTAAGTAATTTTTCAAACTAACATGATGGAATTAGATTTTATGGCTCATCGCCAGCCTGTTCAAGACGAATAATAGTGAAATTGTATACCCTATTTAAGATTCATGACGCTCAAAACCATAACCAGTTCGGCGGCCAAACAAAGGAGTGCCGCACCCCTTGGGTTACCGACCAACAACGAGAAGGGTGATTTGTTCATAAACACCTCCACTGCAAAATTATATCCATTTTTGAAATTACCTTTAATTCTCTATAACAATTGGTATCTTTAAGCGCTCCCCTGCCCCCCCTCCCGGCCACCACCAAAAAAAAGTTTTTCTGCCCAATCGCCAACCAAATATGAACACAATGCAAGAGTTCACTCTACAGAACAAAGCTGTTAATCCTGTAATATCATGACTAAGAAATGACTCCTTACTTCTGGCGTGAAATGTCAGCGTTAATTCAGAATTTCACATGTGACATTACGAAACTACTATGGCAACGTTCCGTGCCAAAATGGCACATGAAAAAAAAGCACAATTTTCAACAGCAAGGAGGATTCTTACCGGTTATTTTTAGAAAAATTTAGAAAATTGTTACCTTTCCAGTGCATGGAGGTCTCAATACATGAACAAGTCGAAACTCACAGTTATAGTTTACTCGTAAAGTTAGGAAATAATTTCACTTGTGTTTTATCAAAATTCTAGCAATTTCCCCAAAACATTACTCGAATTCTTGACAAAACGCACGTGAAATTACTTCCTAATTTCACTCGTTCGTCATCACTTGATCAAACTGAACATACTGAAATATGGCAACGCCTATAACAAATAGAACAGTAAAATTCAAATTACGAAAAATAAATAGTATCACAAAAAGAACTTTGGAAACGTTTTTTGCAAGTGGTAACACCACTTTGTTTGAGCCACAAACTGTAAGTTAAAACTACATTACTTCTAATTGACATTTCGGGGCTTTCAAAACGTATGTAAAAAAGCGCAAACTAAAAACAGACAAATTTCCAGCCTCATGGCGAGTGATGTATGTGACATCACCCACCAAGCTTGTCACAAGATTTGGTTCCAAGCTTTCTACGTGTCGACCCCGCCGACAAATATCCGTTCTTGTTTGAAAAAGGATATTTTTCTCTCGGTGTTGGCCTACTGTCCAAGCGTATCCGGTGGACACGTGTACCGAAAACGCATATTTTCAAAAACGTTCTCCAGAGTGGAGATTTTTTATAAAGCCAGCTACTCTTTTACGTGTGAATCGATGAAAACGGAGGTTTTCGAATACGATGATGTCATGCATCATACACGAATAGCACTACGCTTAGCGTTTTCTTGTGGAGTGGAGAAAACGATTCGAACACGCTACGATTTTGACAACAGGAAAAAAAAATCGTTTTTCGAAATATCGGGATAAGTCTGAATGAGGCCTTAACTTAGTTTATACTCACGCTAGCTGTTGTAAATACGTTTCGTTTTATACTCAAAGGAGTAGCAGGTCTTTTCGGCTTTTTTTGCTCTGTCACGCCTTCAGCGTCCTTGCTTCCGGGCGGGACATCTTCATCTACTGAGGGCTCCTTCTTCAAGTTAATCTTCAGACGCAGCGCATCTCTATGCGACTTTACTACGCGCCCGTCATCCAAACTCTTCCTTTCAACAGGGGACGCACTGACGCAGCTGGACTCATCGCTCTCATGAGTCGAAGGATGAATTTCTTCTAGAGAAGAGTGGTTTCGACAGGTAGCTCCCTCAAGTTCGCTTCTTTGCGCATTCATCCTTATTTCTTCGATGTTTCCGTAGCGTGGAGAATGCGGCGGGAAGTCTCTATCCTCCATTTCACCACCATCAGAGTCTGACGAGGGAGAACGAACACGCTGACTGGTATGGCTGCGAAAATATTCTTTAGCCTGAGTCCTTCGCTCGCCCTTGGGTGGCCGGCGGGGGATTGGATGCGACAGTGATTCCGGCGACTGGTGAGTGTCCGACAGTATTGGAGGGTTTGAATCTGAAATCTGGAAAATTAAATAAAATTATAGTGATGAAAGCGGCACAGTAGCACGTTTGTAGTACCGAAATGAAAAAGTCAGCAATTTCAAATTTAAAGTCGTCAAATAGAAGGAGTTTCTTGGTGTTGCGGACCAATGCGATCACCAAATGACGTACCGTAAATCCTCTGTTAAGCCTTCCCCCCCCCCCCCCCGGGGGGGGGGCTTTTTTTTTAATCTCACAAAAACACGTTTTTAGACCCAAAAAAAAAAAATAAAAAATTTCAAATTAAAAGGCGTAAAAAAAAAGGGGTTTTTTGGTGTGGGGGACAAAGCGAGCCCCCAAAGACCGACCCGTAAACCCCCTTTTAACCCTCCCCCCCCCCCCCCCCGGGGGCGGGCTTATTTATTTCAAACACATTTGAGGGGGTCTTAACAGAGACAAGGGGCTTATTTGAGAGGGAGGGGAGGCTTATTTGATTTAGAAAAAACGATGGTATCAGTTCTTCGTAAACAACTAGAAAACAAGGTGGAAAACTTTAGTAACAAGAAGTTGGAGGTCATGCAGCCGAGGATCAAAACAAATCCGAATTTCCAGTTGGTGAATAAATCATCACGGATCAGTCCACATGAAGTTTTAAAGTCGTGATCGATTAATGCAGTTTATCATTTATTAGGGAAGAATAATAGTGGGGAGGGGAGGGGGGGCTCATTAACATTCTTTCCCTCAAAAAAGGGGAGGGGAGCTTATTAAAGAGGAAGTCAGCTGAAACGGAAGACATACAGAGATATCGGAAGGGTGTAATTCGAGCATTAACGGTACTTTATACAGCCGAATTTGACGAACCCATCATTACCTCTGGCTTAAGATTTGGAATAAATGATAGACTATGTTAATCAATCACGACTGTAAAACTTCATTTGAGCTGATCCGGGATTGCTTGTTCACATGCTGGAAGGTCGGCCTCGTTTTTGATCCTTCGCTGCATGACCTCCAAATTTTTTTTATTTTACCGGCTTTTCTGGACACAAGCCTGCCCAGAGGGAATGGGCACGAACGGGACTCATAGGTCCCATGCAAGGTGCCATCCCTACCCAATCCCACAACCCGTCAAGAAAGGTTGGCCACACCACCGGGGTCTGCGTCCCCTACTCTTTTCGAACAGTGGCGTGTGTTCTTTTACGTCCCACAAGAACAGATCAGTGAAAGTGGTGTGAGACGGGACCTACGGTTTTTTATCTTTTTAGACTAGAAAGTCTAACCATTTGCAGATGTCGTTACAAAGACAGCACTTTCTTCTCAGTTATTTAAAGACCGTAGTTGTTGGTCCGGCCGGGGTTTGAACCCGCGACCTCCCGCTTAGCAGACCGGCGCCTCCCAACTGAGCTAACAGGCGGCTTCTCGTACTTTGAGCTTTTCCACTTTGCATTCCAGTTCTTTATGGAGAACCGATACCATCGTCTTTTCTAAATTAAAGAAGCCCGCCTCTCTAAAAGCCTCCGTCTCTATTAAGCCCCCGCCCAAACTTGTCTGCAATAAATAAGCACCCCCCGGGAGGGGGGGGGTTAATAGAGGTCCGCCCCGGGACACAAACGGCACACTAGCCATTCAGTTGCATACATTACCTTATCGGATGTCGCACAACTCTTAGGATCCTCAGAATCTGAAACTGAATATTAATTCAAACTTAAATAAGTTTCATTATTCTAACAACTGCAACATACTCAACCCGTTTCAGCCACCAGAGCTTAAACCCAAATTTCCAGAGCATGTACTACCACACGGCTACTATAGTCTCAGAAAGTACGTCAAGTCTTTTCCCTGATTTTTCCAATTTTCTCTCCTTTTTTGGCCGTCAAGTTATGACCGCTTCCCTTCCTCCTTCCGTTAGAGGAACCAAGTCACGGTAAGTTCCCTGGCTGTACTTCTTTACGCTAATTATATGTTCAAAATTTACGGTGACATAACATTGATTATTTTTCGCAAGATCGTCGAGATCGAGCGCAAGTTACTGGAAAGGGAGGAATGTACCAAATGTAACCTGGAGAAAGAATATCAAATCTTTCCAAAGGCGGGAGCACCCTTATTCTCCCTCGCAGCCTCGTCACGTAACGCTCCTCCCGACGAGCGTTGTGTGTAGAAAGATTGGGCAAGTTATTTAAACGGAGTTTAGCCAGTGTTTCACAAAACCACGTTCTAAGTCATTGACCACTCCAGAAAATACCATAACATACCATAATGCTCTTTATTTGTCACCCAAAATTTTGTATAAGGGTTGTTTTCAGTGAACTTACACAGAAGGATAGCGGGGAAAAGAAGACGGCAAACCTTGTGTGACAAGCGTGACAATAATTATGCCTGAAAAAAATGTTCCGCCAAACTTCATCTTCCTTTAACAGGTCTTTTTGTAAAAGATCACGACAAAACTTGCAAGTAATTGTCCTGTCACGTTTTTCACACACAACTTTTTGCCATCCTCTTCTTTCTGCCTTCCTGTTGCGTTAAGGTCACTACAATCAATAAGTGACGCATTTTTATAAACCCCGTTGGCGCCCCTCCCGTGGAGGGGCCCTAGAACGAAATTGCCGCACACTCACCCGAATTTTGCCTTTCAGAGGAATCGTCCCGGTTTTCAGGCGACGAACAAGTAAGTTGAATGACAGGTGTCCGCGCTGCCGATGCTTTGTTGGCTGGCTGTACTTTCTTATGCTCCGGAGACTGGGTGTTTCGTGGGGGTACGGGTGGGGGAGGCAAAAAGTCATCCTTCTGTCCACTGCTGCTGTGATGTCTGCCTGTACTAGAGCTGCTGTGTCGCCTTCCTTCCCTCGGGGGTGGAACAGCGGGTTGTGGCTGACGCGTCGCGTGTTGAGGTGGGGGAGAATGAACGGGAGAAGCAGCTGACTTAGGAGAGGGAGGTGACCTCGGTATCCTTGGGGGTATAGGTGGGGGATCAGACTTCTTTCTCGGGGGGATGGCAGGTGCAGGCTCTTGGAAAACGCCTGAGGGTAGACTTCCGCTATCCGCGAGTCGCTCCACTTGCTCCACGCTTTGGCGAAGTTTGTCAATATACTCGTAATTCTCGTAACTTTTATTTGCATTTTCATCTTCAGATTTTCTCCTGGGATTTTCTGGTCCTGAAGCGTTACACTTTGTAGGAGATAAAGGTTTTGAGATGTTATCATTTGATACATCTTTGTTTGGCGATTCCTCTCTTGAGACCTTCTTAAAAGAGGTTTTCTGATTATTTTCATCTTTCTTTTGGTCACCCTTCGTTACAATGCGTAATATCTTCGCGGCCGACGTTTCTTTGTCTTTCTTCGATTTCTCTTCACTAGATGACTTTCTTTTACCTTTGGGTGACGTTTTGGAATTTTTCCTCTTCATCTTGGGAGACGTTTCTGGTGAGTTGGTTTCGCTTCCTGTAAATCGTCCTTGCAAATCCAAGGCATCCCCCGGGGAAAGAGACTCTCTCCGAGGTCTTTCCGAAGGGCCCGAATAATCATCGTCATTTTCTCGCGAGTCGTTGCTCCCTCGCCTCGGTTTCGGCGCGAGTTTCTTTACCTTTTTCACAAACTTACTCGCTTTCGAATCTTTACGTCTCGACATGTCGCATTGCACGTCTTCGTCTAAACTCTCGGTAGATTTACGAACCTTATCTCCAGAATCTGTAGTGTTAAAAATCACCTCGTCTGTTATTGCACAGGTAGCGGCGCCTCCTCCATCACCAATCGGACATGTCGATATATCTTCACTGGTAGCCACAGTTTGAGCTCGGAAGGCAGAAAACTGTGCAAGCTCATCTCTGATCTCGGTGTTCTGTATAAGCCGGGCATGTATTGCAGCTTCGCCGCCACCGCCGAGTTGACTGGCGCTAAAGTTGGCCCTTATCGGCGACATCAGAGTCTGAGGATTAACACTCTTCAGGCCTTTCGCGAAAAACGTAGACGACGGGCGATGCATGTTTATTAAGTCCGGCCGCTTATGTAAATCCTCAGAGATGTCGCCCACAGACAAACACGCTTTTCTCCTGTCCATAGTCTCTGGACGAAGTGGAACAGGAGGAGGCCCGGGGCTAGGTGCACGCGGAAAGAATCCTTCGCAAGTCGACTTGCTCTTTTCAATCACAGTGTGTTTTTTGAAAGGGGAGCCTCCCTTGCTTTTGACCTGGTCAGCGCGGACAGCCTCTGAAGGTACTGCTCCAATACTGTTCCGTTTCCGTGTCGCCGCAGGGAAAAGTTCGCTGACGTCATGCTGTAAGGGTGTTTCCATTTGAGCGATAATTTGATCTAAGAGCTTTTTAGAGGACTCGGGATCTCTGGCTTGTTCTAATAACGCATGCGCTGCATCGACTTGACCAGCGGCGACTAAAGACGTATTCAACCCTTCGTTGTCCATGTTAGACTGAGTTGGCGGGAAAACATCTTCGGACTTGAGCGCACGCTCCCTCTCTAACTTCGGTTTTGGCGGGAAAGTTTCAACATTAGGATCCTTTATTTGAGCAACCAAATCCTCCTGCATTTTTCGATTAATCCTGGCGTTAGCTGGTGAGAGTTCTAAGCCGCCAGTTTTAACCGTGGTTACACCATTAGGAGAACTTGGGAGGCTTCGTCTTTTAGTACTTGATAAATTAGACATCTGATTTTCGGGCGCGTTTTCAGACGCTAAAACATTAACAACATTTCCGTTTCCATCAAGTTCTTTTTCCCCGGGTCCTGTTTGCAGGGCTTCACATCTGATGTATCCCTCGGCGTCCGTCTCATCGGCCTCAGGAATCAAATGCGGACTTGAAAGGTTCCTGGGCAAAGATCTATTGCGCATGCTCCCATCTTCACTGGTCATCGAACTCGTGCTTGTCAGTGACTCGTTGGACATTTTCCGTGAGTGAACTGGGTCTGAGATGTGAATTGGCTCAGCGGTGCTATCTGAGAGCAGATCTATGTAAGCACTAACCTCGCTGGTGTCCGTGGCTTCTTGGACGCCGTCATTAATTTCACAATACGGCGTGGGCTGAGTGAGAAAGACTTCATCGTCTCCAGCCTTCTCAACAGAGGAGTCAGTTGCTGATCGGGGTCGAAGGCCTAGGATTGAGGCAGACCCATTTGGTGCCCCGTTCACTGTAACAGCATTACTTTCGTTCTCTGATTTCTGGTCAGCAGTAGGATCCGTTTCAGAGCGTAGTCTCTTGGGGTTCTCAGCCAAATGTATCCTGTCCTTCTTTGCCAAAATCCTGGTCAGCTTTTCAGGGGGTGCAGTATTGGTCCGTGAGATTCTTGAGGGATGAGAGGGTGGGGAAATTCTAGGGTCACTGCCGTTTAATGACTGGCCTCGGACAAATGCCTCACGTTTCTGCGCTGCTGACTGAAATAAGTGCTGTGATTGCCGACGGATTTCATCGATGATGGTGTCGCCATGTTTAGTGAGGAACTGAAAAATCCCTTCACCAGTAGCGCAGCGTCTGTGAAGTAAATAAAAAGGATATTAAAAATGTCACAATCAATGATTAGCTTGCCATAGGCATGTCCAGCTCCACCCCATTTACAATATTTTCATGATTACCCTCCCCACCTCCCTCATGCGAAGCAGTTCGGACGAGCCTCTGCCACAACATCAAAGTTTCAGCACTTCTACATCTGCAGTGTTTACCCTTCCAAGATCCCATGAGCAGCTGTCCACAAAATCCACAACCGCTGAAGTTTAAGATGGCTTGCAACAATAAACAAAATTTTTTTCTGATGCTATATTAGTGGCGTTAAAAATAGCCAGCGAAAAGAGCCGTCTGTCCTCGCTCCTCGCTGCTAAACAAGCGAGTGAGGAGATACGGCTGTATTCGAAGGCTACATAAAAAAATTGTTGAACAAGTTGAGATCATTGTTGTTTACACTAAAAGTTATCAAAGCAACAGCATTGTAAATAAATAAATAACGATTTGGAGGTACATGTAGCACATCCACATAGTGGTTCTTCTTCTACCTGATTCCTGGTCGAATTGGAATTTGGAAATGTTGGTTTTTGAGGAGAGGGGAAAACCGAAGTTCCCAGAGAAAAACCTCTCGGAGCAAGGAAGAGAACCAACAACAAACTCAACCCACATATGGCGTCGATGCCGGGATTTATTGGTGGGAGGGCATTCTAAATTTAACCTTTTGTTATCATTGATTAAAATCAGCCAGGAAGCAATTTCTCCAAATGCATAATAAAATAAAATGAACAGTTCAAGTGTACACTAAATTTAAATTATCCAAAAAGTTAAAGTGGCTCTGAACCTCAAGCTGCAGATGTTTTAAACTTTAGCAAAAAGGAGTACTTTAACAGGCTTCTCGCAATTTAGGGACAAAAATGGGGATCACTGGACTAACCCCTTTCTTTATGATAAGCCCTTAAAGCTTAAAATTAAGGGCACTTTTGACAAGTTGTCATACCGACCTTGCATCAAGAATGTAACTATACAAGAATGTATTGTGCATGTGTTTGATACCGTTACTATAGCATCAACTGGTATTTATAATTGCTGGATTAGGTAAATGGTTATTTATTATTATTATTTTAACAGTAATATATTTATTACTGACAAACTCAGAAAACTGAGAACACCTGAAACATTTCAGGAATGTTGATTGTGTAGTGATTAATCACAATTAATTTCAGGACTCGTGAGCAAACCTTAAAACCCCAAACTATAAAACATTGCTATCTGCGGTTTAGTTTTCTCACGCCCTATTGGTTATTTCCTCACAGCACAATAACATTTCATAAAAAATTTCTGGTGCTCACAGGTTTTGTGAGTTTCACTGTAATTAGTAATAATAGAGAAAAATTTATTAAGTGGGACACAGTTTTTCTTAGCCACTGAATATTTTAACATCACAATATACTAAACAGAACTTGCTTGTCTTTCTGAAACCATTTTCCATGTTAAGTGGTGTTGGCAATCTTGTAATTGCTGCCAACCCAATGAATTTCCTGATATATTAAGATTAAAAAAACACTCACAGTTACGTGGATTTTACACACATATCTCTCCCACAATCACTATGTACTCGATTTACCACCCAAAACTACTCAACTTCTCTAGAATCTTAGAACAATAGGTCTAAACAAATGTATCTCCACGTGCTACTGATGGGCTGAAATGTAGTTTTGCTTCAATTGTTAATTATTGTTCCTTAAAACAACTGAATTGACAGATACGCTGGATAATTAAGATGCTTGCTTTCAGCTTAAATCAACTTTGAAATTGAAAAGTTTCTTATTTTCAAAGAGTAACATCAAAACTAATTGCAACAGTGGCTCAGACACTTCTATTGCCTTTCTGGCACAAGTGTATATAGTGGAGGTGTATGTCGCCGAGTGGTTAACACCTTGAACTCTGGATCTGGAGGTCCAGGGTTCATGCCTCACCCATCACATTGTTTCCTTAAACAAGGAACTTACTCCACTTCGTCTCTCTTCACAGGGTGTGGGCCTTTACCTTTTTTTAACAAGTAGAAATAAGTAGCTGTGTATTACCTCCCAGCGTTCAGTGTAAGAAGTTGCATGTCCTTGTCACCAGCAGTCTTGGCAGGTTCACTTAAGTATGATCGCAGATGACCCACAGGCCAAGTCACAATAGTAACAGTTTTGTCAACAGACTTAAGGATCACATGCCCCTCTGAAATGCATAACATGTAGTCCCCCCTGATGTTATTCTGCTCTGAAAAAGGAGTCAGCCTCGTGGTAACAAAAAAACCTGGGAATCAAACAATACACAAAATCGGCTTACCTATAGTGGTATACATAAACATGGACTTTCACAATCTGAGGGTGGGTTTGGTCTTTCAAAATTTACAGTCCACACCCTCATCAGAGCAACGTATTAATTTCTATAACTTCAGCCTTGTTCCAGGTTCCAAGAGAGAGAGAAAAGCAGATCAAGAAAAGTTGCACATAAATCGCATAGGTGTTGGGGAGAGACGGAGTAGTGGAGCCTGTAAGGATTGTTTTCAATACCTCATTCCAGTATATCAACTCATTGTAAACCCTACGATTGGTAAATTGTGACAGTATACTTTGACACTCACGTCAACCAGTTGGCTTTGCATGTACAGAGTCTAACAAACATGCTGAGCATGTGAAACCCTCCCATGCTGCACCTTTTGACGTCTTGACGTTTGACATTTTGACACAAGAAACCCTTTTTCAGGAAGTGCTCGGGGTAGCAGGCAGATTGAGGTTATATTTAAAAAGATGCTTATATTAAAGGTTCTCCAATACTCTCTTCCTGCACTTTTTCGCTCGTTTGCTTTTTTTCCCTGGTCAACACAGACCGGGAGCCTTGCACAGGCTACTGTAACTTAATTTTACAAGTAATTCTGTTTTTTTTTTTTGCATGACCCAGATCAGTTTCTATGATAGTTCTGGTAATGGAAGTCTATGAAAAGAAATCTTTTTAACAAGAAAATAGAAAGATAAAACCTGTCTCCTCTAAAGACTAAAGCATCATGTAATAACATTTATTTTTCCATTGTTCATTTAACATGACACAGTGTGCCCTGGGAAAATATCATGTGCTTGGCAAAAGAAACCTAGCAAATGACCATTTTTAACAAATTCAGCAAATTCATTATAAGAAATCTTTTTTAAAAGCAAATGAAGACAAATATATGTATGATGCCCTTTAAATTAAAAATAAGACACGACTTTATTACAATGAAAAAAGTTTGATCTACACTGTATAATTAAAAAAAAAAACACTAGAGCACTAATGCAGGTATCAATGTTTGGAAGGAGATGGGGGGTTTGGGTATAGGTGTGGCATTTGAATTTTTCTGCCTTTGTTTTGGTCAAATTCCCAACCCTTGGGACTGGCAATACTGTAAAATTCTGAAAATAAGCCCCAGGGCTTATATTTTTCAAAGGCCCTTTTTCAGGGGCTTATTTTTGGAGGGGCTTCTATTCGGAAGGGCTTATATACATAGGGAACTTTGCATTTCAAAATCGGCTAGGCTTATACTTGGAGGGAAATTTGTGTCAAAATCGATTGTGCTAGCTTATAGTTGAAAGGAAATTTACCTCAGTAATTTGCAAAAAGTTTTTACTAAAACTCGCCTTCAGGACATAGACCTTTCTGAAACGTAGCCATGCCACTACTTTGTCAATATGGACCGAGGAAATAAAAGCCAAGAGTGAAGAGGAACCACACAAACAGCAATTAACTGTGACACTTTCTGACTACAAACACTTGGCACACACGTGATAGTTCTTTGGCAAATACAAAAATTTATGTTACTGTACCGTTTTTGCTTTGTTTTATGTTGTATTTGAGGGTACTTTCCAAGTACAAATCCCTGAAGGCTTACAATCAGAGGGGTGATTTAACGGAGGGTTTTTTGCGTTACGAGTTTGTGGGGCTTATGTTTGGAGGGGCTTATTTTCGGAATTTTACAGTACTTCAAATCTGATAAAATATCCCATCCTGGGGATAACAAAACTGTGTAATGACATGTATTAAAAGCAAACATAGAGAAATTTGAAATGTACATTTCCAACTACTGTACATTATCGAAGGTACCATATTTTTTTGGTTATGAGATGCACCCCAAACTTTTCAATGCAATTTTTCTAAGTTGACAAACTGAAAATTAAGCCAAAATACCCGGCTATATGGTGCAGCCACGAATTTTGGCGATCTTCACCTTAACTACAACAACACCCTTTCCAATGAGGCTGATTACAGCCATTTACCTGTGTGAACAAAAGCGTAAAAGGTTACATATTTTGATCAAAAGCAAAAAAATTACACCTATCAAACAAAAAGCATTTTTTCTAAAGCTGCAAATAATAAGGGAATCTGTTTTTGTTCCATAAACAAGTCAGCTGGCTTGGCTGCAGCATATTGACTTCGGTACATGCATCGCTAGTATCAAGATAAAATCGATCGCATAATACATGAGTCTGAATATTTTGTACCAAATCTGGTAAAATTAAGCCTTCGTTTATCAAAATAACTGTGATAAAAGTGCTCTCACATTTCTATTAACAGATTTGGGAGCTTTCTTTGAAAAATAAAGGTCTGAAACAAGTGCAAGATCGCAGTGTGGAAATGACTGTTGGATCAAGCACAGGCTCAAAAATTTGCCTGGTTACCAAGCATCAACATTCAGTTCAAAATGATTGATGCCAGATGATTTTTTTCGAATGGAAAAGGATTTATTCATCATTTAATACCAGCTTTAGAAGATGTAGAAGTCATTGAAAACCAATAACAAAGAAGAGGATGAGCAGCTAGAGCTTTTAGAGTCAAGAATTTGATCAATTTTGTTTTGTTCCCCAAAGCTACTCGCTTATAAGACACACCCGGAAATTACAACAGATTGAGAGCTATCAAGTAAACTTTCATTGAAAAAATGCTGCACCTTATGAGCGAAAAAATACGGTACATGTAGATTGAAGAAGTATAAAGTCTGCCCAACTACACATGAAAATATTCCAAAATTGAATCCATATGGCTGTTAAAAACCTAGATGATTTATACTTTGCTTACGCCATGTGAATAAACTGGCTTTAGGTCACCAACATACCGTAAAATTCCGACAATAAGCCCTGGGGCTTATATTTTTAAAAAGGCCCTTTTTGAGGGGCTTATATTCGGAGGGGCTTATCTATGGAGGGAAATTTGCGTCTCAAAATCGATTGGGCTAGCCTTATAGTTGAAGGTAAATTTACTGTTTTTGCTTTGTTTTACTTTGTATTTGATGGAAATATTCCAAGTACAAGCCCTCGGGGGGCTCATATTTGGAGGAGCGGGTTTAAGCAGAATTGAATTGCAATATTCTTTAAACAACTTTTAAGTTAATACACTCAATACAAGATGGAAAGCTGTAATGGTATTGCATTACAAAAAAAGTAATAACTTGACATATTTATACTCACTTACATGTACCGATCTACAACTTTTCCGAGATGGCACGTCTTGAAACATGAATTTACATGAAGGACCCAGATCTCTGCACAGTAAAATTCAAATGTCTGCAGTCTAGGACAAAATTTGTGGTGACAATCCCAAAATATGGGATAAAGGAAGTGTTCAAATGTTACACCCATGCCTGTACCCCTGTCTCCGTCTAAACATTGATACCTGCATAATTACCTAAAAAAAAAATGATAATATGGACCCCCAGTTTTTAAAACTTCATGACATAAAAGTCTTATGTCTTACCTGCATTAGCTGATGAGTTGATTGTTCTCGTTCTAGAAAGTTTCCTTATCGAACCTTGTTCTTCTAAGTTGTGAGGAACTCCAGAGGAGTTTTCATGAGAAATACGCCTTGAAACCTCAGGAGTATTTACAGGGCTGTCATCTGTACTTGCATACTGCCACATCTCAGACGAACCATTCCCACCCACTTTTACAGCGACTTTATTTAATGCATGTATCCAGTCTGCTGTAGCTTCTTCATTGTCACAGCCCAGAGTAAAGGGTCCTTGTTTGCTACACACGACCATCAGTGGATGGCAGTGTGACTTAGAGCTTTGCGTTTCACCAATGTAAACAATGCTGTCTAAGTAGATGCAATGTTCAGCTGATTTATGAAATTCAAATGCCGACGCATCTTTGTAGTATTCAAGTCTTTGACAAGAATCTTGTGTTTTGTCACGCAAAACAAAGAATTTAGACTGCCATGCCTTAAAGAAAAAGAAAAAAAGACATTAACTTGTGATTACAGAAATATGTACAATAAGACCCTCTTCTTCAAAATACCAGTGGAAAAAAATTTGTGTCAGTTAAATTGACTGATCTAAGGGTTAAAGGGGTTTCATTAACGTTTCAACAGGAGGGCAAATGGATTTGACGCTTGGGCAAAGAATTGGCAAGACCTGTACGGTCCCCTGGAAAATTTTGAAATTCTATAGTTGCACAGATGTGTTTTTGTGTATTCTGAACCTGCAGACAATGTCTTTCAACTGCCAAAAAAGATAAATTTTCTAGACAATTTAATCATGATTTGATACCAACTATCCAACACACAAATTGGTTCTCTTTAATTAGTACCAACTTCAGACCCATTGACATGGATTTGCATCAGGGCAATCAGTATGTTTTTCTTTATCGTACTTTTTCATAATCTTTTTAACATATTGTTACATTTTAAATAGTATTTAGTGTCACACCAAACAAGAATGATTATAGACTTAGCTGTAACCTATCTAAGTCACTGTCAATTCATTCATATAATACACGTCAATCACAGATTGATAATCTGTTTGTTAAATCTGTTCATAGCACTCAATACAGCATTCGTTCTCTCAGTTACACTGGTCCAAAACTTTGGAATTCTTTATCTATTGATGTTAAGAAAATCAAGCCGTTTTCCAGTTTTCATCAACATATCAAGAATTCTTTGATTGATAGTTATAATACTATTATTGATTCCTAATGTTTTACGATTATATTATCTTAACTACTATTTAATTAATGAAGTAATACTTTTTATCTAAAACAACTATTTTGCATCTATAAATTATTCCTTCTACTCATATTCTTGTTTGGGTCACCTACTCGGTTAGTTCCCCGAACTATTTAGGTGTCCCAAACTCTGCACAAAGAACGTACAATTGAAATTTTCTTTCCCTTCACAATCTCTCAATTTTATATTTTAAAGCACTAATTTTTTTATTAATTATTATTATTCTGTGTGAGTTTAAATAAAAATTGACTTGACTTGACTTGACTGTCAGCATCTCAGCCATAATGTGGTATAAATTGGTATAATTTGGTTGAAAACGAAAAATACTCAGCGATCAAAATTCATGCGTTCGTTTCTGGGCTGCCTTGGCTCACACCTGTTCCCACAACACTGAGACATTTCAGATGGTCTTTCATGGAGCACAGTTCTTTTTGTGATGCATTATGGTGTGATTCTTGCTTTTAACACATAACAAACAAAGGGATTTGATGCCACATGTGATAAATTGGAAATTTGACGTTTATTGTTCCTTGTATTAAAAAGTTCTTTGAGATGTTAAGCAGCTGGGAAAAGTCACGTTTTGCCAGGTGCCCTTCCCTTTAAGAAACCCCTGCTAGTCAGGGCTCAAAATAACAGCTGGTCAATGGACAAATTATTGTGTCTGACCAAGACGACCATTTGTCCAGACAAACTTTCACTTTGCTCGTCATTTTGACCGGATCAGCACGTTTAGCGGCCCACATTTTCACACATTACATTTTAAGAGGACCAGCATCTTTTTTCAATCCGGTATGTCTTTGCTTGTTAGGCTAGCATGTTCAAATTATTATGGTGTTATTTTTAAAATTTTGACAGGTCAGAAGAGAGATCTGACTGAGCTCAAATTCCTTTGGCCAGTCAACACGACTGGTAACAGTCCCAAATTCATTTTGAGCCCTACTAGTGAATGACTAATTACATGTACATATACTTTTTTGTGTTTATTTGTTTCATAATTGCAAGTTATATTCATCCATTCAGTTTGGTTTTCAGTTCACTTCTAAAAATGAAAGTTCTGTTTTGAAATTTCTCCTCTAATTCTAGGAAAATTTCGAGGACAAAAGAATAGCTTTTATGAGCTACACATTGAAAGATCGTGAAACATTATTTAGTGTATTGTAATGTGTTAATTAAGAGTTCCAGTTACTGAGTGACTTCTTAAAACAGAGTTAAATTATCATGGAATAATTTACTCATGAAAATTGCAGTAAAAGGGAAGTTAAATACATTGAAATAAAGAGGGAAATCTGAGTTTAACAACTGAGTTCTAGTTAACTGATAAAGTAAATGTCTATGAGACAAAACCAAATCTCTCTAATTAGTGGGGAGTCTGAGTTACAAAACAGCAGGGCTGTCGCTAAGATTTCAAGTTGCTGTTTACATGTAATTAGGCCGAAGTTTACATGTAATTAAGCCGAAGGCGAGTGATTTACAAGCTTTTCGAGTGTTCTCCCAACATCCCAAGTGTGTTATCACGCTGGTAAACCCATGGAAAGTGTGGTCTCTTGCTTTTATAAAATAACTTTAAGTTGTCTATGAGTTTACCGGCACAATAAACCATAGGTTTTTAACCAATCAGAACGCACGCACTATCTTAGTTATTTTATAATATTTCATAGCAGTATATATTCTCTATATTCATGATTTTTCCTAATAAACTTGATGAAGACTGGTATTGGCGAGTCAAAATATTGTATACCTTAGGCTTAAAATCACATTGTTTGATCAGTCTTTGCAGTAGTAGTCTTTTTTACTTTAATTTTATTTTTATCTTTTTCGACTGATCACGATCTTGTTTGATCCAACGTTGAGCAACGGTTGTTCATGGTTTTTGCATTGGTTTTTCAAGCCTTTATTTACATTAACCTTAAGGTGTTCATGCATTCAACATAAGTCTGTCTGTATAACACAAATTATATTAAACACATGGGAATGTAAATCTTAAATTTCTCAACATTCCCGAGTCATAATTTATAATTTAATTTTCATGTTGAGCATGATTTTGTGTGTCTTCTTCCCAATACATGTAACTGCTTACGTGATAATTATGTGGTGAAAAAAACCAAACAATATTATCCATAACACAGCTGTGTCTAGACCTTTCTGCATTCATGTATAATGTACCCAAAAAAATTTGGTGAGGGAAGTCCTGGATGACTGTTTCGCTAATAAGGATGTTTGTACACTGTTATAGCACTAACAAAAACTTTTAATTTAGGAAACTTTTCATTTTCATGATGCAGCTCATCAGTGAGTGTAATGACTGTGGTATTATATGAACATCTGTTTTGCCATCCCTTTGACAGCCAATTACATGAGTAAGTGGGTGGCGAAACATCGTTAACATAAAAGAGGCTGTCCTGTTTCTTAGCAATGAACTACAGTAGTACTGTAGGCTTGATGAAGTTGATCTGCGAGAATAGTACCAATGCCACCTCACAGATCAAGAAGATTAGATGTTAAAGAGCTTTGGACCATAAAAATTAGCCAAACTGCAACTTCCACATATACCTCATATCGATATTGCATGCAAAAACAAAATGGCAAATTTGTATCTAGAAGTTGTTAGAAGTCCACGTGATTGGACTTGTGACTTCACTAAACATATTACGTTAATTTCTACTAAAAATCAATTACCTTAATCCGAACTTTTGCATGGGTTGGAGGTCTCTTGATCATCATTTCACCATACTTGACTATATCTCCAGCTTCAAAGATTCCTGCCATGGCCGATGCTAACAAATTATCATATCACGATTTTCCAATTCCAAAACCTAGGATATTAACAATAAAATCGGTGAGAAATGAATCGAATACGAAGACTGTGATTGTAAGCGTTCGGTATTTGTTCCGAATGCGGAACCGAGAACAAGAGACGAAAAGAAAACACATTAGATGAAAAGGCGAGAAATAATAAATTACTTCACTTCCGAATAATAACTGTTTGAAGCTCATGATTAACTGAAGAAATAATATCGCGAGTGACATCCACAGACGACAATTGATGTGATCTAGAGAATCCTATTAAAACTTACGAAAATTCGGTCAGCTTGGGATTTTTTGGTCGGAAGGAAGGAAATTTCGCAGCAGTAGGCGTCGATCGTTCGAACAAAATTCTCCTTTATAAGGTGCTAGGATTATCACAAAGCGACATGCCACGGTCCGGCGGTTAACATTCGATCATAGTCGACGTGCAAAGAACATCTCACCCTGTGAAAGTCCGAATTATACGTTCTGTCATTAAGGGAAAATGTACTTCAGTTTTGAGTTTTTCTTCAAATTAACCAAACGTTTTTATTACACGAGTCTTTAATACCCATCCTCAAAGATTTCCAGTATACCGAAGGCTGTAAAACAGTAAATTAAAATTCTCGTCGATTTTATTTGCGCTAATGGCTGCTCTGTTGGCGATGAAGCGCATTTTAGTATTTCACAAAAGAGCTATTCTTAATTTCCACTTCCGCAAATGTAAAAAAATTGTGAACTAATCGCATGGCTTTGTGAGGTCCTTTGAGAAATCTGCCACGAGAATGTGAGAATTTTTAATACTCAGAAACAAAACTTTTTAATACGCATCACGTGAAAAGGACAACAGAGGAGTCATAAAGCCATATTTATGGTGCAAACATTTAAATTTTTCAGTGAATTATTATTATGCTACCGTTCTTTAAGTTATTCTGCTCACCCCCCGTTGAGCCAAATTCATTAGCAATCTACCCACAGCAAAATTTATGAAATTTACAACCTACCATCGTTGCTCGAAATATTGCAAACCAGCGTGAAATTTAAGTTATGAGAAGTCACCGCCCCACCACTATGTTATAAAAAACACCTGTAGTGAAAAGCAAAGCACAGTTAGGCTTTTACAGTCGACTTGCCTCTCATATTGTCGGTGTTACTGTCAGTTAGGAAAAGGATCCTTTCCCGCAAACCGTTGAAACCGCTGTTTTCTACTGTGTTGACAATAAAATGACAGAATATACTGTATCCGTTCAGATCAGGTGATTGGTCTTGCCACTTTTACGACGACCTCGCGCAGAAACGAAGAAAAATAATTCCCAACCGAGCAAACGAAGCAGTCATAATTCGTAGCATTTGCATTTGAAATCCAGAGTAGATGTCCTGAGGGCCAGATTATTAACGAAGGGGCAAGATATGAAATTGAAAGTAGTCGAACAGGAGATCGGCGATTGGAGACTTGAAGCGTGATGTCTCTAACCTTGACTCATTAGACTGGACACACAGACACAGCGTGCGAGTAGACAAGAACAAAGGTGCAATTTCTTGAGTAGCAGTCGCTAGCGGTATAGCATTAGGACAACTCTTCCTGATTCTCTGTAAATAACTAGCTGATTTCCTCAGCTGTCAAAACAATGCGTTTCATAATTTATTCTTCTGTGTTTTGTATTAGCTCGTTGCGTGTTGCCGTATCATTCCTCAGAAATATTTTGAGGTAATGGGCACCATGGGATAGCTTGGTAACCGCTAGTTTTAAGAGAAAACAAGATGTCGGAACGAAAAGTGCTCAACGTAAGTGATAAAAGCTTGATTTCATTTGTTTTTGGTTTTGTTTCTGATGCTTTAAATAGCCAGCGAGGTGATATGAATTATTGCTAAGATTTCCAGACAGCTCCATACATTTATTAAGCATGCAGCGATCTCATACTATTTTTCAAACGTATGACGCTCAATGCATCGATTCCAAGCTTGCGATAGTACTCCACTGGCTTTAGTTACTTTAAGGGGACCGTAGCTTTATGGAGGAAAAAACTTAAAAATTGGACGTATTAATCGTTGTTTTGGTCCAGAAGCTACGAATCTTTTTTTACCTACCCATCTAATAAATGTCATAAATGTCATAAATGTCGGCAACACTAAAACATGGAATCCGGAAACGGGATCACGCGAACGGAAACAGAAAGGGAAATGGAATACGGAATCAAATATCAATGATACAAAAGTAAGGAATTTCACTTTGCATAATTAATACAATCCAAAGAGAATTTGTTGTAGTTTTCTTTGCAGTTTCCTTAAAAAATATATGCTTGTTAATGTGTCTTGATAAGGTTTGCCATAGCGTGATTTATTGCACTGCAAGGCCGATTAAAAGTAATTTTACAAATAATTTTTATTCACGAGTTTATGGCTTGAATAATACAGTTAAACCTTACGTTTTAAGCTACATGTCAAGAGTGGTAGTAGTTGGTCTCAGAGCACACCACTTGATTGTTCCCAAACTGAATAGTCAACACATGATCAACCCGTGACGTGACCACACAGTGGCAGATCCAGGGGAGGGGCCTGGGGGGCCCGCCCCTTTATTGTTGAGACCGCCCCCCCGTATATCAGGGTCTGGATGATCTCCCCCCCCCCCACCCATTATCAGAAGGTCTAGATCCGCCACTGCCACAGTTCCAGTGTTTTAGCAGTAAGTTCAACTTTTTTGCCAAGCTGAATGCTAATGGGATACTGGTATAATTGAGGCTTATTAAACATGGTGCATTATTTTGATGTAATCAGTTGAGGAATCAAGCAAACGCATGCACAATTCTCTCTTCTCTTTGGACTCCCAATGCCATGGTTCTCTTGAGTAAGTTATCTTGATAAATAAAACTGAACACTGATGAAGACAACCCAGAAAAGACACCCAGGAACAACTTGATGGCAACACCTTTCAGTTAAACTTACCTTTTTCTAAAGGAACTAGTTATTGTCAGTGACACTTCTCAGCTATAGTTTTTCTCCTTGCTTAGCCTGTTTCAGGCTCTCGGATCCAGTTTCCTCCCGTTTTTTTTTTCTTTTTCGCACTTTCTCAATTACGCGGGCCCAACTATCTCGGAGCCAGGAACATCCTACTCCTTGCTTTGCTGTTCCATAAGAATTTTCAATCATTGCTGGAAGTGGTATGAAGAGTCTTTTCACCAGAATTGACTCCCCTAATCATACAGCTGTCTCTTCTGCCCAGGTATTAAATTTATTCATTTATTTTTATTGTCATTGCTAATAATTTTTTTTTCAAATTGATCCCTTGGAACCATCTTTCACAGATTCCGTATTCTGTTTCTGTGATTCCATTTCGGGATTCCGGATTCTGTGTTTTAGTGCTGCCCTTTAAAATTGGCTGTTTAGCATATGTACTTTTTCCTTCTGCGCATGTGTTTGCTGTTCTCTGGAGAATGAGACTTCCACTCTTATCTATTACAATAGGGCTTTAGTTACATTATCCTTTATTCAAGTAACCTTAAAATCTTTTTCCAGGTTCATGAGAAGGAAAAGGATTTTGAATCTTTGTTTGTACATGTATTCCACAGAAATACTACCCTCCAGATTTCGATGCATCTAAGATCCCTAAGCTTGGACTTTCACGAGATCGTCAGTATGTGGTGCGACTCATGGCCCCTTTTAACATGAGGTTGGTTGTGAAATTGAGGCAATAGCTAGGTGAAGTAGATGCCAATGGATAACTTTCACAAACTTCAAGTATAAAGATTATTATTATTATTATTATTATAGTAGTTTCGATCCTGCACCAAAGATCTTACTCATCTCAACATCTAGCTCCTTGGACCAACCAACCCCCCCCCCCCCCCACAAAAAAAAACCCACACCAAAAATCCCGACACCCAACCAATAATCGACCTACACTTTTATAGGGCTCCCACGCGCTGACGATTGACTTTTTGTGTTTCCTTTTTCTGCCTAAATAGCTAGGTGAAGTAGATGCCAAAGGATAACTTTCACAAACTTCAAGTATAAAGATTATTATTATTTTTATTATTATAGTAGTTTCGCACCTGCACCAAAGATCTTCCTCATCCCAACATCTAGCCCCTTGGACCAACCCCCCCCCCCCCCCCCCAAAAAAAAGCAATGTCCATGATGAAGTTCAGCTGCAAGATCTTGTAGCCTGGGTAATGTTTGGTAAGCTCCCACTGCAGTGGTTGGTACTTCTCTTTCTTCTCAGAATCGGCTTCCTCGCACGATTGTCCTACCATGGACAGCTCATTTCCACAGCCAACACCCCAGAATTGCATTATCCATTGATTCAGTTTTTAATAATTTCTAATATTTTTAGGTGTACCACCTGTGGAGAATACATATATAAAGGAAAGAAATTCAATGCTAGGAAGGTGGGTAGTAACAGGGTTAACGTCATCCTCATCAGTATCATCATCATCTTTCCACTGTCATTGTGATATGCTGTAGACACCACACAGTTTTGTCGCAGGGTCTTAGTTCCCATATTTGCTCTTTCAAGTTTCTCTCCCTGGCCCCAGTACCTCATGATGAGATTGTGTTGGGATAGTTGAGGGATCTACAGTGTACCTCAGTCTATTACACTTTAGTAAAATCCCACTAGTGGTCTATTATCAATTCTGTGCTTTGATTGGTTGAGCTGCTACCAGGCTATATGTTATAGCCCACTCATAAAGAAAAGCGCCGGCTTTGAAAACCAAGACAATGGCAGCTGAATTGCGTTTTGCTAACTTAAGTTGGTTTTTCTCGATATTTTTGACCGACTAGTTGGATTTTACTAAATCAATTATTCCTCTCGCCCTCATGGTCTCTGAGTCAATAGCTCATTCGGGCTCTAGGAATAATTGATAAGTATTTTGAGCCTACATAGTATCCTCCAGAAGAATGCCCCAAGGCGATTAACATATACAGGTTGATAAGTGCTTGATCATATAATTTATGGTATGTGTACATTGGAAAGGATTCTTAAGTGGATGAAGGCACTCCTTTCTGACTCAATGTTCTACTCTAGCAACCCCTGGCCCAGTGGCCCCTGGTGCCTAACTTTTGCTCTCATACAACTAGAAAATCCAATTTCTGTCAACAACAATAACAATAAAACAACAATAACACTGTTTGATCTAATCATCACTGACTGTTATCTTGGAAAAACTTTACCACTATTTTGATACCAGCTCTTTTAGTGCACCTGCTCGTTAAAAGCCTTCAGTAACCTTACAAACACACAATTTGTTTCCTTTGATTGGCTAAACTTAATAAATTCCTACAGTCACCAAGACGGTATAAACCTTTAAAATAATTAATTCCAGATGGCCACTGTTGAAATTGTATACTTATTGGACACCAATAAAATTTCAACTGCATAATTTTCATACCTATAAACAATTAATTATCAGCAATAACATAGTAAACACACACACTGTAGTTGAGATATTATACAAGATTATCTTGCTTCTTTTTATTTATCAATTTGTTACCCCTACCCTGAATGCTATTATTTTCTTTGTTTCATAACAGGAAACTGTACAAAATGAAACATACCTTGGCCTTCTAAGATTCAGATTTTACATCAGATGCCCTAGATGTGTATCAGAGATAACATTCAAGGTATAATGAGATAAAGCCTGCGCGGGTTACTTTCTTGGTGGCAGAGCCGCCATGTGAAGCTGAGCAGGATTTTTGACTTGTACCCTCTCTTCTTGTGGCTCTGCTGCAAAAACAATACTGCACTTCTGCGCAAATCCCGTCAGCTATGCAATCTAAATGAGTTAGTGCAAATCATTCTACCTACCCAGCAGTTTCATTCCCACCCAGCCTTCACATATGATTCTAAGAGTTGTCTGAGCTGTGAGCTGCTTGTAAAATTTTAGTTTTTTTCTTTGACAGAATTACTAAAAATTACTAGATATAATAAAAAATTCGTCCAGCTCTTCTTGGAGTGGAGGACAGTTTCTTGAAACTTGACTCTAACTTATGGACCGGAGTCAGTGAACAAAATTCTACCTTTACATGTATATACTAGCCATGCTTTTAAATAGTGTACTGGTTTCCCCTCTGACAGTTAGGATTCTTAACATAGTTACAATGCATGTTTCATTATTGTGCTATAATACTGCCGAGGTTAAATAAAGTAAATAAATTTCCTATTGCAAAAAAACAATCAATAATAACAGAGTGCGACTGAAGTGACAGCATTTGAGAAAAAGAACACAACAACTTAACAATAGACCTGGCATGTGATGCATCAATCAAGTTACCCTTCGTTGATGTCAGCACATTTTCTCCACAATGTACTTCGTCAATATTTATTTACTGTAGTGGTACTTATGGTAATGAAAATAAGTTCATGTAAGACAAACCTTTGATGGTTGTTTCTTTCACTTGCTCCCTAAGAACCATAATATCAATTCAAAGAAACATTAATTGCCAACCATTGTTAAGACTTCATAGGTAAATTTGAAGTAGTCTGTCTTCTTATCCTGGGCTAATGATAAGTCTTCCCTTCATAGACTGATCCCGAGAACACTGATTATGTTTGTGAAAATGGAGCAACAAGGAACTTTCAAGCACAGAAATTAATGGAAGATGAAGAGAACAGAAAACAGAAAGAAGAAGAAGAGGAAGAACAAAATAATCCCATGAAGGTACCGTAACAACAGCACTGTTCAAAGAAGAGCTGTAGCAGGGAACAGTTCCACATAACTGCGACCAAGTTAGCTGTATTACTGCAGTTTGCTCGACGTATTCATGTAACATTATTTTGCTTGTGAGATACATCTACGTAAACAATAAATTTCGAATTGCACACCTTAATACAAACATGGCATTTTGATCAAATCAGTTTAGTTGATCTTAGTTAACTCCAGAGTTGCATGTTAAGCCTGTTTTTTATTTTTTATTTTTTTATTTTTTAGTGATTTGTATCTGGTATTTAACATATTTTTTTACAGTGTCCCCCATTAGCTTATAGCTAAATACGTAAACACTTAAATATTTAGTTTTCATTCATTCATTTATTCAGTAAGCTGTTTTCCAGGCGAAATACTGCAAGGACTCCAAGCTTGTGCCTTTGCTTCCATCACACATGAAAACCAGCCTTAAAGTAGCTTTGAGTTCAAAGAAGCAGTTAGCTGGGAATTATTAATAGTAATAATAAAATGACAAGCATTTTAACTAAACCAAGATCAAGACAACAGATTTAACTTATTGCCTGGGACTTATGTTCCTGTGAATAAAAAAATGATTTAAACTGAGCAAACTCTGTTGTAACAATATTTTCTTCTTTGCTTTCGTCAATTTAGGCTCTTGAAAAGAGGACAAAAGAATCCAAACAGGAGATGGATATTTTAGAGAAATTAGAGGAACTGAGAGATCTAAACACCAGACTGGCTAATGGTTTGTAACCTCAAGGAGGCTTGGGTAGTCCTTAACCCTTTAAGCCCCGATGTCCACTTACAAATTCTCCTAACTGATCTCCATACATTTCCTTTAAGAATTAGTTGAGAGAATTTGATAAAAGATCAAAGATTTTTCTCTTTAAGATCATTTTATTAATTCTTGTAGACTTTGCTCTTGACAATCTATGGATATCGTTGGGAGAAAATTGATTTTGGACACTATTGGGGCATAAAGGGTTAAGGGTACATCACTGGGGGAGAGATGTCAGCTGAAAGTTAACCTGAGCAAGACTAAACTCTGAGAAATGCCAAAATGATGAAATGATGACAACAGCCCCCCTCCCCCGAAAAATCCTAATCTTCGAGTTTTTCGTTGTAAGAAAAAGTGCTCTTCTTCATCTCTGATATTTCCCTGCCTCATCCCCGATTGCTCCCCAATTGCTCACGACCACTTTTGGGGGGACATTTGAGTTAATTATGAAAGAAAGCAGGGGCAAAAGGAGCTGCCCGCCCTCTGCACTCATTCTCGTCATCCCCCTCTCACACTTCTCGCTTGACTTCCGCCTCACATGGGAAGCCTGTGGAGGAGAGAGTATATTTCCTTTTTTGGGGGGGTGGGGGGAGGGGGGGTTGGAGTCCCCCTACACCCCCTAGAGAAAGCAGTGTCCCATTATAAAGTGCTATTGACTACCTTTTAGTATCTGATCATGTTTACTTAGTGGAGGATGCTTTTTTAAGGCACAAATCAAAAGGCGGAAGATTGCTTTAGTTTATGTCAGCAATATTCTAACCTATATAAAAGTGAACATGATCTTCACAGTAGAATGAACAACCTAAACAGTCAAAAAAGAACCTGAAAAATTCCAGGCTTGACTAGGCATTGAACTCTGACCAAGCGCAACCCTCTATCCATGGAGCTAACACAACCAACTGTAGCCTGCATACGCCTGCCACGCAGGCTAAACCAACTGGAGAACAAGCCATTGTGAGTTCATAATATACACGATGGTGGAAATGACATGAATTGAAATATATGAAATGAATCATGTTTTGAACTGCGGATAGAGATATAACAAATGTGAACATGATCTTCGCAGTACTATGAACAGCCTAAGCCACTGAAAAGAAAAAAAACTGAAAAAATTCAGGCTTGACCTAAATTAACTATAAATTAACACACCATGGCTGAATAATAATGCATATTGAGAGAAAAGATATCTATGTTAGTTTTTGAGGTCACTGCATGGAGACCACAAATCCAAACGTTATATTTTTTTTGTTGATAGAAGACTGTCCCAGGTGGCTTGCATTGTATGATAAGGGATTTGATGCCTGACATAATGTGCTGCTGATTTTGGTTTGTTGTTGTAGTTGATTATGACACCCTTCTGGAGTTAAATGCTAAAGCAGAAGAGGAACTGCGAGCCAGAGAAGCAGAAGAAGATGAACAGGAAGTACAGTAAGCTCTCCCTTTGGATTATTTGTTAACAGTATGCTTATGTTGCAGT